CACTCAGGACACTCCAAGGTGGCACAAAACCAAGCCCCTAATCAAGGGCCAATAATCACCGAGGGGTGAACTTTTGCATTAAACAGGAGAATCTGTATTGGGAGTGCCCTGCCACAAGCTGGGTTGCACCACGACGGCACCGTCTTTGTGACTTAAGTCCCTGCTGTTCAAATGTCACCTCCCCCCAAAATCCCTGTGCCCTGGTCATTGGACTACAGATAAGCCTTCTCCACTTTCCATTCTTGTCCTTTAATCATTGCTTTCTGAAATTTGCTGCTATCTAGAATTTCGGATTCCTCACTTCTTTTTTATTCTTTGCTTAGTCCTTTTCTGCCAAGGAGCTGAGCCTTGACCTGTTTTCTTGACCTGCCAGAAGAGCAGTGATTGGCAGAGCACTGGAAGCTCCAAACGGTAGCTCCGATCCGCATTGCAGAAGGAATCGCATCGAGTGCATGACTCACACCAAAACACCACTGCGTGCCGGGCAAGTTACACGACACACCTGCCTTAGTTTCCTGTGTATCTCTGCATTCTCTGATAGCTACTGCCGCTAGTGTGAGAAGCTGACTGCACCCTGCACACATGCAACATTGACCTGTACATGCTTTTGCAAATTTTTTCTGTTGCCGTAACATGCCAGTGGCACGACATTCAGCTCTTTTAGGTCTGAGCGTTCAGGGGCATTTAGATACTCGTGCTTTTCTGCATCGTACCGCGCTCCCAGAATTTGGATACCTCTCGAAAGCAGACCCCCATACCCACTAGGGGTCACTTTCCATTCCTTCTCTTCGCAACGCCCAGGCCTGTGGGACCGCGCACTTTGTTTTCCGTCGCTGTGAATTGGCGTCGGGGGAATTTCTTACCCAATGCGTGTCATAACATATGTGAACCTTGAGCAACTGTCTCTGGCATGACATGATTGTTTCTAGGTCATCCTCAGAGTGTCATTGCCTCATTCTCTTTTCAACCGGCGTGCATCTTGAGCAGTGGTCATTGCAGGCCGCATGTTTCATCTTGCAAAATAGACTCAAAAGGCGAATTAGAGACGGTGTCCGTTAGACTTTCTGTACTGCCTGCAGGGCTCTCTGAAGACACGCTTTCGGACTGACTTGCTGCACGCCTCCTGTGTTAACAGTGACCTAGTAAGTATTGCACTCAAAGAATAAGTCTTTGCACTATTCTGAAGAGGCGCCGTCACCAAATCACTCTTGCAAAAGTGTATTGCCTCCCATTACGGGCTGTGATCACGGTGGTGGTGTGTCTTAAATAAGAGAAAGAATCAAGGGCTTCCGCAAAAATAGAAACCGCAAACGTGAGAGCGGTGCTTAACCATGCCTTGAGCGCTTCGTTTATCCGTTGCTGAACTTGTGGGTTTTTTGGGTGTGTATTACAAGAAGAATTATTGAGATGGCCATGTTGACTCCTATTATTTTTGTTCTATCATTCGTTTTTGAACTGTGAATATCTTACTTTGTATCGAAACACCTTTGCTAGTACTAGAGGTATCGTACTCATGTGAGTTCCTCGCCACGTACATTTTAGTTGCTGCTTCTGCACTGCTCTTGTTTCCCGTCATGTCTCGATTGGCGCGCTGGAACGCCCTCCAATCTCCTTACGATGCTGCTTTTCCGTGACACGAATTCCTTCCAGAAACTTCGGCCGCAGTCTCGACAAGAGGGGTGACGTATCTGCGGGGGCTGTAGACATTATGTCATCGAACTCACACACGGTTCCTCTGAAGCATAGAATTATCAGCAGCATTATCATGAGGGATGTGAGCTTCCAGAAAGTTAAGGACTTTCTCTGCATAGCCAAGGAGGCAGCGGTGAGCGAGTCTGCCTCAACCATGAGCCTTTTCCTGAGGTCTGTCTCATCTCTAGCAGATAAGAAAGGCAGACTTGAAAACTGGGACCCCAGTCCTCAAACCCACCTTGCTGTGTCAACGTCTAATTAGACTCTGCAGGATAAACTGAGCTCATTTTTGGGTGTCCTTTCTTCTCCACCTCAATATGTTTCTGCACCAGAGGGCATACCCTAATATCACAAACAAACCTCATTCCCTTGCGTTTATAGTCTTTGCAACATTACCTCTGGGGAGTTTTTGCACCGTGATCCGTTTGTTTGAAACTAAACCAGTAAAATGCGGTTCAGCGTTCATGTTCCTCTTCAGTGAATGGCAGGTGAATGCAAGTGAACTGCCTCGGCTGTGTGGATGTCTTACCTGTGTGCGACTGTTGTGGTTGCTGACGCTGCTCCGAGTCTTGTCTGGGGAGCCCGCTTCCTGATAATGAGGATGTGGTGTGGGTCGTGTTTTTTTTTGCAGAGAATTTTAGCCCCTGTCCTTTTTAACAAGACCTAAATAGCACTAAGCAAGGGGAAAAAATAACACTTTGAATCGGACACACCCCGGTTCAGACTGTCGGTTTCCCCGGCTGAGTTGCAACGTGACCTTGAAACATTGCAAATGTTTAACCTCGGTTTTTGCTGTGCGACAGTGTATAGGGAGCCGGCCTGTCACGGGATTGAGAAGTGGATGATACGAGTTTAAAAAGTGAATTGCAGAGGACAGAGCTAATCGCGCAAGTCTCCAACCTGCCATGGAATCCAAGCATGGTCTGACACTTAGTAGTGAGCCCAGGTCTTTTGAAAGTTTCCTCTCATGTTATTAAATACAGCAGCCAACTCGGCTGGAGAACACGCCTAACACACCAAGGAGCGTGGAGAATGTCGTAGTAAACCCAGAGAGAGGAAGCTCTCTATGTAATTGGTCTTTGGACTACATGAGTCAAAATGGACTCGCAGGAAATAGAATCATCTTTTAAGGCATCTTCCCCAAGACACCGTTTTGAATCACACAATATTATTCTAAGCAAGGGTGGGTGAAGTAAGCCCTGTGATGTTGTTCTTTGCAGTAACTTAGTCTTACGTCTATCCATGCCAATTATGAAAGGCAGGTCTTTGAAGGGTTCGAACAATCAGGCGGAATGCTTTTGGTGGTGGAGATGATAAATTAAAATTTCTTGCACTCGGGACGTTGTAGCTGAAAGGTGCTTTCTAAAGCCTGGCTCTAGACAGTAAACCCAGTTAGGTGTTTCTAATCGCTTTGTCATTAGGGTCTGGTTTAGGAATGTGGGTTACAAGAAAGCTGGAGCATGCTGCTATGTTGAGACTGTGCACCTGCAGTTCTGTACGGGTCGACTTCCTTTGTATGTAGGTGCCAAGGAACAGATGGCCAGCTCACATCAAAGCTAGATGAGATATCTCCCGGAACCACGACATGAGGTAGTACCAGTTCCCCGAAAAGAAGCCTCCCCATAAAACGAAGCCTAGCAGGATGTCTAAGCATGTGTGCGAGTAGAAGCCCTACCCTGAAAATAAGCCATGCATGGGCGGGAAAATAGCCCGGCATTTATGAATAATCTGATGGTGGCTAAATCAGACCTGGTGGTGGTCGTGCTATGAAAATCAGCCTATGATGGGTCGTGGCTATGAAAATCGCTTGAGCGGCTGATCACCTAGTGCGGGCGTGCTTAAATCAAGCCACTGGTGATGTGAGAAAAGTCTGTGCGTGCTATGAAAATCAGGACGCTGTGCTGAATCACTACTGGGTTGGATGAAACTTACGCGGGGCTGCGCAGCGCATCGCACAACCATGGTGTTGTTGCAGAGCGGAAAGAAGCGAGCAGCCTTCTCATCCGGCCATGAGAGCCTAGTGCTCAACAGGAGAATCGGGGCTGATGATTCTAAAGGAAATAGAGTCGCCAGGACATTCAGGATGAATCGGGTTTGGAGGAGTGAGGATTGATGTTCCAGAAGTAAGAGACTTCACTCTATTTGAATCAATGTAGATGGTTGTAACCGTACTTAGAAAAAAATGACACATCCCCTGGAAAATAGCCCCAGGGTGTTCTTGAGGAAAAACAATAGAAACCTGTCTTGTATTTTCAGAAACGATGGTATCGAGTGGATCTCATTCAGTCCTGCAATCCGGTCTCCGAGATCACATGTGGGGCGTCGTGCATCAGGACTAGTATTTCCAAGTGCCAAGAAACCATTCGACTGATGTTTGATGCAACAACAAAACAGAAAAGGAAGAACCCAGCATGTTTACAAACCACATTCGAGACACGGTCGCTGGGCGCCAACCTTGTGCTTGTTGTGAAATCGGTGGTGTTGGTTGTCTGCGCAGGGTCAGGGCTTTGATTTGACCCCGAACGCTTCGTTTCTGGCATACATCCATGCCAAGCTCTCTTGCCGCTGAGATTCTGCCATCCCTGCTGCCGAGTGTCACTCATAATGTGCGCTCAAAACAGATCCAACCAAGAGCCTTACGGGACGCTCATTTGTGGATTCTACGTGCGTCCTACTTAGCCTTCCCGTTGACATAGCACACTCAATCCGAAATTCTCGTGAATGTTCCGGAGCTGAAGAAGACTGATAGATATGGTCATTTGTCTTTGACTCAGAGACAGAGAAGACCACAAGGATGAATGTTCTCTGCGGAATGACCCCATGCAACCCGAGAATCACAATATTGCTAACTTAAGGGCAGCTGGAATCAATCCTTCCCAGTGGGATTAAGGTCTGCGTGTTTTCTCTTTCTGATCAGCGTGCGCGCTGAGATCGCCCGCAGCTTGTTGTAGCTGAACTTGAAAACCTGCGCACACAGGCAGACGGGGAGGGGGGGAAAAGACAAATCCCTTCTGTAGTTTAGAAAGCCCACGGTGAACGACAGGAACCAGCGCAAAGGGCTGGAACCGCATGGCATTAGGCTTGCTTTTCGTGCAAAAAAAATAGTCATTTTATAGATCATTGGGGAGAATTATAGAGTTCCTGTGGGTTTTTTTTTCTATTTGATTTCAGCATATCTACTAAGTGAAACGTCCCAAGAATAGAGTTTATTATTATTATTATTATTATTATTATTATTATTATTATTGTGGATCGTAGAGGATGCAAAAATAAGCAATGCTCATCGTAACGTGGCAGCCGGGGTTTACCTGCAGGGAGGTGAGATCTCTCAGAGCTCCATCCGGGATGCTTGGGATCTCGTTGCCGTGAATCATGAGGAGCTCCAGCTTGCTCAGCCCTGCAAATGAGGTTTCGGACAGGGCCTGTATGCTATTAAACCTGCAAAAAAAGTAATAATAATAATCAGAAAGAGAAACAGCAGACCCTTAAGTCCCACATGGGAAGGATTGATTCCCCAGCCTGCCCTTAAGTTAGCAATATTGTGATTCTCGGGTTGCATGGGGGTCATTCCCAGAGAACATTCATCCCTTTGGGTCCTTCTCTGTCTCTCTGGAGTCAAAAGAAAATGACGCATATCTATCAGTCTTCCTTCAGCTGCGGAACATTCACGGAGAATTTCGGCTTGGAGTGTGCTAATGTCAACGGGAGGCTAAGTAGGACGCACGTAGAATCCCAAATGAGGCTGTCCCCGTAAGGCTCCTTGTTGGAATCTGTTTTGAAGCGGCAACATTATGAGTGACACTCGGCCAGCAGGGATGGCAGAAATCTCAGCAGCAGAGAGAGCTTGGCATGGATGTATCCAGAAACGGAAGCGTTCGGGGTCAAATCAAAGCCCTGACCTGCCAGACACCAACACCCCCATTTCACAACAAGCACAAGGTTGCCGCGCCCGGCGGACCGTGTCTCGAATGTGGTTTGTAAACATGCTGGGTTCTCTTTTTCCGTTTCTGTTGTTGCATCAACATCAGTCGAGATGGTTTCTTAGCCAGCTTGGAAATTAGTCCTGATGCACGACCAGCCCCACAGGTGATCTCCGGAGAACGGATTGCAGGATGAATGGAGAATCCCACTCGATACCATGTTTCCCTGAAAATAAGACAGGGTCTTCTATTGATTTTTCCTCAAGAAGACACCCTAGGGCTTATTTTCAGGGGATGTGTCATTTTTTTTTGATGGGGGCCGGTGGCTCTAAAGGAAACACAGAGTTGCCAGACGCATTCAGGGATGGGATTCGGTGGTCTGGAGAGTGAGGGATGATGTTCCAGAAGAAGACGCCTTCACTCTGTTTGATCATGTAGAAGGTTGTACC